CACTCTCCCCTGCTCCCCTGCTCCCAATCCCCACCCTCCAGTGAGCATTCTCACCTCCATCGCCGCTTCATTTGGACCCAGCAACCCACCTTTCAACGCCTGGACGGGCAGCGACCCCTGTGGGACGGCTTGGCCGGGAGTGTCGTGCTTGCCTGCGCCTGCTCCTGCCAGCGACACCAGTGTGGTCACAGAGCTGTGAGTGCTTCTCTCCTGATCTCCTGCGTTTCAAAATAGCCTCGTCTGCCTCTCCGCCTGCCAGCAACACCAGAGTGGTCACAGGGCTGTGAGTGTGGTGCTGTTTCCCTCTGTGTGTAACTTCTGTGCGGGTTACCTTTGTGCGTGCGTGTCACTTCGTTGCGTGTCACTTCGTTGCGTGTCACTTCGTTGCGTGTCGATTCCGTGTGTGTTGCTTCTCTCCCCTCCTCATTCCCCCCACGCCTCCCTCCCCCACTCCTGCACAGCAACCTACAGCAACCGCGGCTGTAAGGCAAGCTTGAAACGATTGTCGCAGAAGCGCACTCTCCACCCCTCCGTTACCCTCTCTTTTTCCGTCAACCATCCCTTCCTCCTTTCCTCTTTCCTCTCTTCCTCCCTCCCGCTCTCCCACCATCCGTCCGCCTGCCCGTCCTCCCTCCCTCCTACCATCCTCCCCAGCATTCTTCACGTAGAGGAGCTATCAGGCACCCTGTGACAAGTCTTCCCAACCCCTTCCAACCCTTCTCAACCCCTCTCCTCTCTCTCTCCCCAGCAATCTGCAGCAATTGAACCTTTCAGGCAACATCCCTGCTTCCATCTTCGACCTGACCACTTTAAGCAATCTGTAAGCGTCCTCATTACAAGCATGATCGTATAAGGTTTCTCACACCCTCTTTCTGAAGAGAACTTACCATCCGTTAGTTACTCAGATCGCCCTCCCCTACTGTTCCACGCAATTTGACCCACCCATGAGCCTTGTAACACCCCTTCTTCTCTCGCGTCTTCACCCCTTCTCACCCGCAAGTTTCCATGCAATACCCCTCCTCTTCCCCCAATCCCCCCACCACCTTACCCCAGACCACTCGTCCACTCCCCATTCCATTCAACCCTACCCTCCCTCTCACCCACGCATCCCCCACGCCATCCCCCACCCCATCCCCGCCCCCCCTATCTCAGAGATTTATCTTTGAACCCGAGCCTCTCAGGCTCCCTCCCATCGACCATCAGCCAGTTTACCAACCTAAAATCACTGTGAGTGCTGCCTCTCTCTCTCCCCGCCCTCACAGCAGCCATGTTACTGACTTTTGAGGCGCCTCAATAGGCACCACCCATGTAGCCTGGCCTCTCTATGCCTATCGTCTCTGCCCTAGGTTCGCCGCCACTCCTCCCTTCGCCTTTTAAGAATTCTCAAAAGCGACTGCATCCAATCCATACCTAATGCGTCCATTTTGCTTCACTTCCCCCCCCTCTACCCAACAATGCTGCCTGTTCCCACCAGCCTCGTGATGCTCCTTTGCCCTCGCCTCGCGCACAGCTTTCTGTATGGGTGTGGCCTTGAAATTTCGCTCCCAGACACGCTCACTGCTCTCACCAGCCCGTGACGCTGCTTGCCAGCACCAACCGCCTCTCAACACCCACCGCCTCTCAACACCCATTCCCTTTCCTCTCTCTTGCTCTGCCCCCGTCCCTCCCCTTGCCCTCGCCTCGCTCACAGGTATCTGTATGGGTGTGGCCTTGCTGTCTGAGCGGGTTTAGGGTTTGAGGTTTGGGGTTTAGGGTTTAGGGTTTAGGGTTTAGCTGCTGCAGGCGAGTCTCGCATCCGTGCTCACTGCAGTCACTAGGCTCAGATGGCTCGATGCCAACACTAACCGCCTCACAGGACCCCTCCCCACGGAGGTGGGTGCATGTGGGGTGCTATTCTAATTTGACGTCACCAGCAACCTCCAACCCCTGCATTCACCCCAACAGCCCCTTTCGTTTCCACTCCCCACACCCAATCCTCATCTCCTTGCGCCACCCTTTTCTCTCCAGATGAGCGCTCTCCGTTCGCTCTTTTACTTTGACGTCACCAGCAACCAGCAACCAGCAATCAGCAAGCAGCAAACAGCAATCAGCAAGCAGCAAGCAGCAAACAGCAAACAGCAAACAGCAAACAGCAAACCAGGGAACCCTGTATACAGCCAATGCAGTCCATACATACACCCCTCTTCCCACCACCCCTTTCTCTCCAGATGAGCGCTCTCCCCTGGCTCTTCTATTTTGACGTCACCAGCAACCTCCAACCCCTTGTTCACCCCAAATTCCCCCAACCTCTCCCCACACCCAAATCTTCACATCTCCATTTCACTCCCTTTCGCCACCCTTTTCTCTCCAGATGAGCGCTCTCCCCTGGCTCTTTTACTTTGACGTCACCAGCAACCAGCTGGAGGGGGCAGTTCCGGCCTTCGGCACCAGAGTGGGGCACCTGTGAGTGACGCTGGTCTCTCTCTCGCCGCTCCTCTCTGCTGCTCGCACCTCTTCATGAAGAGAGGAGCAGAGACGCAGAGAGGGGCACTGATAGTGAGGCAAGCGTCGCTTCTTATGACTCCACTCATAAGTCGCCGCCTTCGGCACCAGAATGGGGCACCTGTGAGTGACGCTGGTCTCTCTCTCGCCGCTCCTCTCTGCTGCTCCTCGAACCTAGCCCCTGGGGCTTACAGTGCAGAACCTGAAATACAAAAGCTGAGAGCCAAACTGGGCTCGTTTTGGGTTCTGTCTTCCTGCTGAACCTTCTAGCTGAACCTTCTTGCTGAACCTTCTGCTGGGGCACTTCCGAACCGTCAGCCATAGAAGCTTTGTTTAGGCTGACGGTTCTTGCTGAACCTTCTGCTGGGGCACTTCCGAACCAGGAATGTGTGTTGACTTGACTTCGTTGAGTAATTCAGCCTCTGGGCTTTATATACCCATGGCACAGGGCTGAGCTATCTCTCTATCACTCTCACCCCGCCAAAAATGAATCGAGAACGGAAGCAATATTTCGCTCGAATCGTAGTACTCTCTATTGCCCTGGTCTCTCCAATTCACTCAGCTCGCTCTCCCTTACTGTGGTTTACCTAGGCTCCTCAAGAATCGACTTGTTCGCTACCCACTCCCGCTGCTTCCCCCCTCTCCCCAGCAAACTCAGGCACCTGAGCAATCTACCTCTTCATGGCTCGCTCTCCTGTCCTGTTCTCTCCTCGTCACAGCGCTCTAACACTCTCTTACCGACTGTGGTTTGCCCCTGTGACTCAAATTTCAGCTTGGCTGTTACCTCTCCCTCTTCTCCCTCTTCTCGCCCTTCTCCCCACCAACCACAGGCACCTGAGCAACAACAAATTCACATCACTCTCTCCTGCCCTCTCCTCGCTGAAGAGTCTCATTCACCTGTACGCCAAAGTTTGCATGTATGCCATGAAGTGTGTAATGTAACCGCCAATTCTAAAAAAAAACCTGCAACTCTTAAGAATTATAAAAAACACCCTGTAACTGCAGAGACATTGTATTGTAACCGTCAATTGCAAATGAAGTTCCTTTACCGAGTAGAGCGCTTTGTAATAGAAAACGTTGGTGCCTTTCATATCGAGTTTTGAGTCGACTCAAAACAATTGCAAATGAAGTTCCTTTACCGAGTAGAGCGCTCAATAATAGAAAACGTACGTCGGTGCCTTTCATATCGACTTCACGAACCATCATTTTCCATATTTGCCATCATCATCTCGTCTTCCCGCGTTCCTCCCCTCTCCCTCCAACCATCACCAGACAACAACAACTTGACCCAGCCCTTCCCTGCATGTGTGCATGGCTGGTCGTTGCCTTTCATGTATGATTTACAAGCCATCATTTTCCATATCTGCCGTCATTTCTTCCCTCGTTCCCCCCTACCTCCAACCGTCACCAGCTTGGTAGACAACAACAAATTGACCCAGCCCTTCCCAGAATGGGTCACTGCATGCACGAGCCTGGAAATCATGTAATTCTTGCTCCGCCTGGCTTTGAGACGTCTCAAAACTTGCTCCGCCTGGCTTCGCTTCGCCTTTGCACCTGGTGTGGTGTGGTGTGGTGTCGATGTGTGGGAGCGAGTCTGCGTTTTTGCCTGTAGTATGGGACACTCGCTGCAGGGAACTACAGATTCTGGTAGTGATTTGATTGTCAGTGGACCCACGACTCAAAATCCGGAATAGTTCACTACACTGCACTGGCTGCTTGTGAGGTGCCTACATTACATTGCATATCCAGTAATGCTACCTTTCCTCTATTTTCCCTTAGTTTTATCGCGAGAGCTTGCTGCAAATCAGCTCCATTCATTTTTTGCAGGGTTATGAGCCTTGCCTGCATATATTGTGGGTGCCTCAGAACAAAACAAATACCAATCCGGCCCTAGGGTTATGAGCCTTGCACTCAATATGCCACACCACACCGCACTCAAATACCCTTCTAATCCGTATATTCCGCTTCTCCTCCTCTCTTACTGTACCCAGACTCCCAGCCCTCATTTTCTTCTAGATTCTACAGCAATAGGTCTCCCTTGAAAAGCTTTCCCTTCTCCTACTCTCTAGAGAGTAACCCCACTGGAAGTTTCCATTTTCTCCCATTACTAATCCCTCAAAATTCTACTGTCATTGTTTTCCCCTTCCATTGTCAATTCTCCTGGCCAGCCAACTGAGCAATAACACTTTAACGGGGACATTTCCTGCTCTCAAGAATATGACTCGTTTGCACACCCTGTGAGTGTGAATCATATCACACCCTGTGAGTGTGAATCATATCCCCCCATGTGAGTGTGAATCATATCACACTTATGTCCCGTTACATTCTAACTGTGCATGCACTCCCATACCATCCCCTCCATTCATGCACGCCTCATACCATCCCCACCACTCACACGTACCCCATGCCATCCTTACCATTCATGCATGCTTTATGCCATCCTCACCACTCATTACCCCCCACCACCCGTCCAACTGTTCTCTGTTGTTTCAACATCCGTCCTCACTCCCAGGCCTCCCATGTTCCCCGAACTTCTCTCCCCTTCGCACCGTCCCTCTCCCCTTCGCACCGTCCCTCTCCCCTTCGCACCGTCTCTCTCCCCTTCGCACCGTCTCTCTCCCCTTCGCACCGTCTCTCTCCCCTTCGCACCGTCTCTCTCCCCTTCGCACCGTCTCTCTCCCCTTCGCACCGTCTCTCTCCCCTTCGCACCGTCTCTCTCCCCTTCGCACCGTCTCTCTCCCCTTCGCACCGTCTCTCTCCCCTTCGCACCGTCTCTCTCCCCTTCGCACCGTCCCTCTCCCCTTTGCACCGTCCCTCTCCCCTTCGCACCGTCTCTCTCCCCTTTGCACCGTCTCTCTCCCCTTCGCACCGTCCCTCTCCCCTTCGCACCGTCTCTCTCCCCTTCGCACCGTCTCTCTCCCCTTCGCACCATCTCTCTCCCCTTCGCACCGTCTCTCTCCCCTTCGCACCGTCTCTCTCCCCTTCGCACCGTCTCTCTCCCCTTCGCACCGTCTCTCTCCCCTTCGCACCGTCTCTCTCCCCTTCGCACCGTCTCTCTCCCCTTCGAACCGTCTCTCTCCCCTTCGCACCGTCTCTCTCCCCTTCGCACCGTCTCTCTCCCCTTCGCACCGTCTCTCTCCCCTTCGCACCGTCTCTCTCCCCTTCGCACCGTCTCTCTCCCCTTCGCACCGTCTCTCTCCCCTTCGCACCGTCTCTCTCCCCTTCGCACCGTCCCTCTCCCCTTCGCACCGTCCCTCTCCCCTTCGCACCGTCTTTCTCCCCTTCGCACCGTCTCTCTCCCCTTCGCACCGTCTCTCTCCCCTTCACACCGTCTCTCTCCCATTCGCATCGTCTCTCTCCCATTCACATGTCGCTGCACCATGCCCGATGCTCCACCCACTCGTTCCCACCAGACTTCTCTGGAACTGCGCCTTGCCACCTTAGCCCCTGCATCCACCCTCCATGGCCTCTCATCTCCCTTTTACCCTCCACTTGCCTCTCATCCCCGTCTCTCATGCACCACCCGCTCGTTCCCACCAGGCTTCTCTGCAACTGCATCGTGCTGCCTCAGACAGTGCCTTCATTCGACGGGCTCCCTGCCCTTGCCAGCCTGTGCGTGACTCGTTATAAAATCCGCTGACCTTGTTCTTGAAGTTTCTGACGGTGAACAACTGACAAACTGCTATCGCAGTCTTACAACCAATAAGACTATATCGCTTCTCAAAACACCCTCTTTGCGAAACTACGTCCAGAACTCGTCTTGTTTCAGCTGATGGGTGCGGCTCACAAATTCGGCCGCAGGCTTTAAGAAACCATACTTCACTCAAAATATATGCTCTTGTGTCCCCCCCTTTCGCAAAATCCTCTTGCTGCAGCGACTTGAGCCACAACCACTTCTTTGGCTCTATCCCCCTCTCCCTCTTCACCTCCCATTCCAATCTCGCCACCCTGTAAGCGTGTGCTCTTACATGATGTGTGCTTTCACGTTTATATGGTTTGCCCTCATAATCATGATTTGTGTTTCTCACAGTAATGAGAAGTATGCTTTCGCATGTTTGAACTCTGCTAGTGTGTGCTCTCGCATGTATGAAGTGTTCTCTCGCATGTATGAAGTGTTCTCTCGCATGTATGAAGTGTTCTCTCGCATGTATGAAGTGTTCTCTCGCATGTATGAAGTGTTCTCTCGCATGTATGAAGTGTTCTCTCGCATGTATGAAGTGTTCTCTCGCATGTATGAAGTGTTCTCTCGCATGTGTGATGTGTTCTCTCGCATGTGTGATGTGTTCTCTCGCATGTGTGATGTGTTCTCTCGCATGTGTGATGTGTTCTCTCGCATGTGTGATGTGTTCTCTCGCATGTGTGATGTGTTCTCTCGCATGTGTGGTGTGTTCTCTCGCATGTGTGGTGTGCTCTCTTAGATGTATGGTCTGTGATTTTGCATGTATCATGTGTTCTCTCTGATGTGTACTCCCAATAGTCTCTATCCAATTCCTCTTATTTTATGAAGCACTTCGGAGAGTGCATGTTCCTTCAGCCTCCACGTACCTTTTTTATTGGAAGTTACCAATCTTTCCTCTTTCCCCACTGTACTTCCTCCCCCACCACCCCCTTTTCTGCAATACTCTCCCCTTTGCAGATCTCTCCACAATAACAGTCTCACGGGGACCATACCTCCTAGCATAGTCACGGCAAACTTATCCAACCTCTTTTCAGTGTAAGGCCCAGCCCAAACTCACCCAACCTCTCTTCTATGTAAGGCCCAAACTCACCCGACCTCAAGCCCAAACTCACCCAGTTACCACCACGCTCTTTCTCATTTTCTGCTTTCTCTCTTCTACAGCCCACCTCTTGCATCTGCTGCAGCTCCCACCCCTGTTGCTTCCCCCACTCCTCAACAATCTCTTTAATAACTTGTATTTCTATTACTTCAACTTTAAACCTCAATTACACACCCACCCCATCCAAGCAGAACTCTCTCTGACAACAAGCTGAGAGGCCACATCCGAAACTTCACGCAGCTCTTGGGGTTGATGTTCCTCACGCTCTATGCCCATCTCTTCATTCATCCCAACTCCTCCCACTCCACACCCACCCCATCCATGCAGAACTCTCTCTGACAACAAGCTGAGAGGCCACATCCCAAACTTTCTGCAGCTTTCTGGGCTGATGTTCCTCTCTCTCTACGACAACCTTTTCACGCACGCTCCACACATGCTGCTCACCAGTGAAGCCATCAAAACGGAGTGTGGTCTATGTCTGCGTAACGTACGAGGGATTTTTGAGTCGACTCAAAAATCGAAGCCATCAAAACGGAGTGAGTGGTCTATGTCTGCGTAACGTACGAGGGATTTTTGAGTCGACTCAAAAATCGAAGCCATCAAAGCGGAGTGAGTGGTCTATGTCTGCGTAACGTACGAGGGATTTTTGAGTTGACTCAAAAATCGAAGCCATCAAAGCGGAGTGAGTGGTCTATGTCTGCGTAACGTACGAGGGATTTTTGAGTCGACTCAAAAATCGAAGCCATCAAAGCGGAGTGAGTGGTCTATGTCTGCGTAACGTACGAGGGATTTTTGAGTCGACTCAAAAATCGAAGCCATCAAAGCGGAGTGAGTGGTCTATGTCTGCGTAACGTACGAGGGATTTTTGAGTCGACTCAAAAATCGAAGCCATCAAAGCGGAGTGAGTGGTCTATGTCTGCGTAACGTACGAGGGATTTTTGAGTCGACTCAAAAATCGAAGCCATCAAAACGGAGTGAGTGGTCTATGTCTGCGTAACATACAAGGGGCGGCGAGATTCCCGTCCGTCTGTCAACACGCATTAGTTAGTTTAGCCTGAGGGGCCGCCTCCCAGATCTGCTGCGTCTCTCTCAGCCTTTGCTGAGGGGGTTTGCCGCCTTTGCCACTGCATCTCCCCACTTGCCCGATGGCCGTCGCGTCTCGAATCCTTTGAGACGTCTCAAAAAACGAATAGCCACGTGATAAAAGCAGTGTTTTGAGACGTCTCAAAACGTCTTGCCACTGCATCTCCCCACATGCATGTTTCTCTTGCCGGGTGACCATGTCTTCTCCAATGCTTCACACAAGCTGCTCACAACATTGATGTTCGAAATTTAAGCCTAAGTAAAGCGCTCATATCTAGCACCATCTCTTCTCCAATGCTTCACACAAGCTGCTCACAACTGAATCCCACCAACGAATTTGTCAACACCTAGTGAGCGAATTCAAGTGTTGTCAAGTGTCGTTGATTGTTACCAGGTACATGTGTCTCCAAGGAAATAATCACAAGTGTCTCCAACTAAAGTGCTTTTACTCTGCCAAACCCTCTTCAACCGAACTCAAAAAACCTTCTTCAACTTATCCATCCCTCTTTCTTCTCCCCCATCTTTTCCTCTCCCCCAGGCTCTACGGCAACCCCCTCTGCTCGCCCTATCGCCCCGAAGTCTCCCAAGTCTGCCTGCCGCCAGAACCCTTTCCCGACTTCACCTTCCCGAGTTTCTGTGCCAACCTGGACTGCAACCCGCGGTACCGGCCCAACTTCCCCCTCTACCACCGCGATCACACGTGCGAGTGCGTGTCCCCGATGGAAGTGCAGCTGCGGCTGCCTGCTTCGCAGTACTCTGTGTTCAGTGAGGAGCTCGTGAATACCTTCCGGGGGAGGATTCGGGTCAGCTTGAGGCGGCTGGGCGTGAATATGACGTGGACTCAGGTGAACGGGTAGCAGGGAGGGTGGGTGGGTAGGAGGGAGGGTGGGTGGGTAGGAGGGAGGGTGGGTGGGTGGGAGGGTGGTGGGAGGGAGGGAGGGTGGGAGGGAGGAAGGGAGGGTCGGAGGGAGGAAGGGAGGGTCGGAGGATGCGTGGATGGGTCACCCCACGCTCCCATCACAGGCGCCGTTCCCATACACAGCGATGCCACCATGACCATCGTTCTTTCCCTATCTCCTGTCTCCTCTGCCCATCCCTTCCCTCCTCCCTCCCCTTCTCCCTCCCCTCATCAGATCATCATCAGCACCATCACAACCGCTGTGCTCACAGACAGCGATATCACCATGTCGATCCTCTTCTTCCCGCCACTAGACGACACCACGTGGCAGCGCCAGCCAGCCATCAGCCAGCCAGAGATGATCCGAAACGCGTTCGACTCCCACCGTGTGATTTTGGGATCTGACTTGGGGCCATACCGCATCTTGGGATACTACAACCCTGAGGGTAAGTGTAGGGTGGGTAAAGAGGCAACTTTTGATGCGCCTCAAAAATCGCACCGTATGCATCTGGGTTCTGACTTGGGCCATACCGCATTTTGGGATATTACAACCCCGATGGTGAGTACTGGGCGGCTGCGGCTGCGGCTGCTGCTGCTGCTGCTGATGCTGTGTTTTGGCGCGTGCCTTGAGCGGGTGGTAAGTGGCACCTTGTGCATTTGCGCAACGACTTAAAGCCGTACCTCATTCTGGGATACTATGGCTACGAGGGTGGGTATTGTTGGGTGGGTAAAAGACCTGGTGCGCTGTACCCTTCTGGGTTACTACGGCCCCGAGGGTGAGTAGGGTGGGTCTGGTGCGGGTTCAGGGTGGGCGCATTGGGGCATCAATGCGCATGCGCGTGTGTGACTAGCTCACAGCACAGGGTCTAACCTGGGGCTGTAATGTATCACATCCTGGCGTGTTTTTTAGTCGACTCAAAAACTAACCTGGGGCCGTATTGTATCACATCCTGGCGTGCTACAGCCGGGAAGGGGTGAGTAGAGCTGCTGCTGCTGGTATGTTTTGAGCAGGTGCTGCTGAGTCAACTCAGCACATTCACCATCTTTTCTCCAACTTCCTTCCATTGCAGCGGTAGTGTGTGTGGTGGCAGCAGGTGCTGCTCCGAAGCAGGAGTCAACAGAGAGTCAGCTCCGAAGCTGACTCTCTGTTCACCTTCCTTCCTTCCTCTCTATGCTGACTCTCTTTCTTCCTTGGCCCTCGACTCGACCACCCCCCTTCCTTAAGCCCCACCTTCCAACGTCACTTAACTGGCACCAGCATCAGGAGGGTTGTCAGCTGCAGTAGTGGCAGCATATGCGGAGACAGCAAGAGATGGAACCAAATCGTCTCAACACAGTCACCATATTCCCTTGTACCTCAAACCCCCTGGCCCCTTTGTACCCACAGCCCCACCTGCTAACGTCACATCACAGGCACCAACAGCGTCTGGGGGGATTTCAATAGCAGTGGTGGTGGGTATAGTGGCAGCAGGAGTGGCGATTCTCGCTCTGCTGCTCGTGGGGCTTACCTGGCTGCTTCTGCACCGTCAGAAGAGGCAAGGTGAGCTTTCATAAGACTCAATATTATCGTTTGAGACGAATTACGAGGGTCAACTGCAGCGGTAGGGGTGTGGTGGCAGCAGGAGTGGCAATTCTCGCTCTACTGCATATGTGACTTACCTGGTGCAGCGCAAGGCAAGGTGAGCCTTCTAATCAACTAGAGCTGACTCGAGAGTGTCCATTCCAGCAGTGGCGAGTATGGCGGCAGCAGTGGCGAGTATGGCGGCAGCAGTGGCGAGTATGGCGGCAGCAGTGGCGAGTATGGCAGCAGCAGTGGCGAGTATGGCGGTAGCAGTGGCGAGTATGGCGGCAGCAGAAGTGGCGATTTCAAAGGTCACCTTGTTGCAGGCAGAAGACGTGAAGGCAGAAAGCGTGAATGAGGAAGGCCTGATGAATTTTCTGCTCAGGGAGCTGGAAAAATATGCCCCTTGCCCTTTGAGGCACCTTTTACTATGCCTCAAAAGTTGATTATTGCCCCTTTCCTGACGCCCCATTCCTGTCCCAGCCCCCTACCACCCCCCCCACACCCCGTTTCACGTCCCGCGTCCCCTCCACCCTAACCCAAACCAGACTGGTGGGGGAAGGAGGACTATGAAGCAATAGAGGGCCTGAACCTGGTGGGTGTGCAGCGATTCAAACTGGGGGAGCTGGCAAACACGTAGCACCACTCTCCATTCCCCATTCAATCCGGTGCGCCCTCCGTTTCACCACCCCCCTAACCAAACCAGACTGGTGGGGGAAGGAGGTCTACGAAGCAATAGAGGGCCTGAACCTGGTGGGCGTGCAGCGGTTCAAACTGGGGGAGCTTGAGAACACATACCCGCGCCTTCCCCATCCCCCACTCATTCCTCTGCGCCCTCCGTTTCACCACCCCCCTAACCCAACCAGACTGGTGGGGGAAGGAGGACTACGAGGCCATAGAAGGCCTGAACCTGGTTGGCGTGCAGCGATTCAAACTGGCAGAGCTGGCAGATGCGACCCAGGGGTTCAAGACACTGCTTGGGGAGGGCGGATACGGACAGGTGCGACCTAATGTGGACAGGCTTATGAGTCAGGTATATCTGTGAGGGGAGGGGAGGGCGCAACTGGAGAGGTAGATCCAGGTATTTTCAAGCTGGGGTAGCTGGCAGATGTAACCCATGGGTTCAGCACGCTGCTGGGAGAGGGCGGATGTGGACAGGTGCGAAAAGATACGGACAGGTGCGAAGTGTTTGGATGGGTGTGAGGGAGAGGAGGAAGGAGTGTGCGGGTGTTACCATTGGGGAAGAAGGTGGTGTTAAAGCGGCTTCTCGGCCCTCCCTCAGCCGTCTCCCTCTGCACCCCACTACACCGCACTGCACGCCCAACAGGTGTACCTACCTCGGGCAGTTGCCATTGGGGTAAAGTGGCCGTCAATTGCGCCCTCAACCTACCCCAAATGAGCCGTCTCTCTGCTCACCGTTTCACACCCCACCCCAACCTACTCCACCCCACCCCAACCCACTCCACCCCACCCCACCTCACCCCACCCCACACCACCCCACCGCACGCCCAACAGGTTTACCACGGGGAGTTGCCATCAGGGGAGAAAGTGGCGGTCAAACGGGCCAAGCCAGGCGTGCAGGTGGGTTGAGAGTGGTGAGCTGAGTGTGTAGGTGGGTTGAGAGGGCAGGTAGACTGTGAGGGCGTGATGGTGCTTTTGTTGACCTTGCCACACTCCCTTTCTCCGTGTTATATAGCACTCCCTCAACATTCTTACCCCACTTTCCCTCAACCTTCTTGTGCCACCACTCGTTTTATCCTACTTATATGTACGACACTCCCTTTAACCCCCCTACACCACATTCCCTTTAACCCCCCTACACCACATTCCCTTCAACCCCCCTACACCACATTCCCTTCAACCCGCCTACACCACACTCCCGTTAACCCCCCTACACCACACTCCACCTTCCCACACCACCAGGTGAACGGGAAGGAGTTCCGCGATGAGATAGAGCTGCTGTCGGCGGTGCGGCACCGCAACCTGGTGCTGCTCAGGGGCTTATGCTGACCGTGCCACGCTCCCTTCAACTTAACCTTCCTAAACCACCCCACACCCCCTTTAAACCTCCCTACACCGTTCTACACCGCTGTACACCACCCCACACTCCCAGGTGAACGGCAAGGAGTTCTGCAATGAGATAGAGCTGCTGTCGGCAGTGCGGCACCGCAACCTGGTGCTGCTCAGGGGCTTGTGCTGTCCCCTTGCCTTCTCATACCACACTCCCTTCAACCTCCCTACACCGCACCACACTCCCTTTAAGCCTTTCTACACCGTTCTACACCTTTGCACACCACCCAACACAACCAGGTTAATGGGAAAGAGTTTCGCAATGAGATAGAGCTGCTGTCGGCGGTGCGGCACCGCAACCTGGTGCTGCTCAGGGGCTTCTGTGTGGAGGCAGGCGAGCAGCTGCTGGTGTATGAATTCATTGAAAAGGGCACTCTGGAGGACATACTGAGAGGTGAGGGGAGGTGTGGAGCGGTGCTGAGAGGTGAGGAAGCTTTTGAATGTAGCAATGGTGCTGCGGGGCTTCTGTGTGGAGGCTGGGGAGCAGCTGCTGGTGTATGAATTCATTGAGAAGGGCACTCTTGAAGACATTCTGAGAGGTAAACTGGGTCTGTGTGTGGATAATTGAGGGGTGGGGAGCAGGTACGTGGGTTGCTGCTGTGCGGGGCTTCTGTGTGGAGGCGGGGGAGCAGCTGCTGGTCTATGAATTCATTGAGAAGGGCACTCTTGAAGACATTCTAAGAGGTGAGGAGAGGTGTGGAGCGGTGCTGAGAGGTGAGGGAGCTTTTGAATGTAGCAATGATGCAACCTGGTGGTGCTGTGGAAGCGGGGGAGCAGTTGTTGGTCTATGAGTTCATTGAGAAGGGCACTCTGCAGGACATATTGAGAGGTGAGGAGAGGTGCTGAAAGGGGTGGAGAGTGGTGCTGAGTGGATGTGTGAGTAGATGGCGAGCTGCGAGCAGCTGCTGGTGTACGATTTCATTGAGAAGGGCACTCTGGAAGACATCTTGAGAGGTGAGGAGAGGTGTTTATGGAGGCTTAGTGTGGTACTAAGAGGTGAGAATCAAATTGGCACTGATGTAGCGTTCGTGGCACGTGGTGTTGCTGAGGGGATTCTGTGTGGAGGCGGGGGAGCAGCTGCTGGTGTATGAATTCATTGAGAAGGGCACCCTGGAAGACATTCTGAGAGGTGAGAGGAGGTGTGAAGTGGTGCTGAGAGGTGAGGAAGCTTTTAAATGTAGCAACAATGCAACCTGGTGCTGCTGCGGGGCTTCTGTGTGGAGGCGGGGGAGCAGCTGCTGGTGTATGAGTTTATCGAGAAAAGCGACCTCCTTCCATTCACTCCCTCCATCCTCTCCCTCATTCTCCCTCAACCCCCCCACAATGCCCCAGGCTCGCCAGACATGCGCCTTTCGTGGCACAGCAATTTGGACATTGCATTCTGGATCTGTTTTTTTAGAATTCTCAAAAAAAGGAAACCCACAATGCCCCAGGCTTGTCAGACGCGCGCCTGTCGAGACAAGCACAGCAAGTTGGACATTGCATGGGGAGCAGGCACAGGGGGGTTTTGAGGCGCCTCAAAACTCGTCAGACACGCGCCTGTCGAGACAAGCACAGCAAGTTGGACATTGCATGGGGAGCAGGCAGGGGGGTTTGCGTGGCTGCTGTATGAAGCTGTACTGTATCTCCCTGCCTTTTGGGACATCTCAAAAGTTGTCTCAAGAGATGTCTCAAAAGTTCGCGTGGCTGCTGTATGAAGCTGTACTGTATCTCCCTGTCTGCTCCATCCTCACTCACCCCCTCCTCTCTCTCCTCCAATTTACTCTCCCTCAACCCCCCCACAACACACCAGGCAAGTCCGACTTGTGCCTGACATGGAAGCAGCGGTTGGACATCGCCTGTGGAGCAGCCAGGGGGTTCGCCTACCTGCACCATCAGATCAAGCCGCCTATCATTCACCGAGACGTGAAGGTGGGAAAGGGGGGGTTGGGGGAGGTGTGAGTGATGAAAGGAGGAGAGGGTGCGAGGGACGTCTCAAAACCCAAAGAGGTTCGCCTACCTGCACCATCAGATCAAGCTGCCTATCATTCATCGCAACGTGAAGGTGGGTGGGAGAGAACGTGTTAGTGTGTGCAGGTATGCGTGCACTTGTGCGCCATTGCGTGTATGTGTGCGTGCAAGTGGGCCCCCATCCTCATCACAGCGTTATTGGATGTGTCACTCATCGCCAAGGTGGTTGACTGAGGTTGATTTTGAGAATTCTCAAAATCAACCTCAAACATATTGGAGGCCACATCCAAGGTGGTGGACTTTGGGATCTCACTCTTATGATCCGCCCCCATCTCTCCCCATCTCCCTCCACCTCACCTCACCACAACCCACCCCACTGCAGACGGCCAACATCCCGATCACAGTAGCAGGGGAGGCAAAGGTGGCGGAATTTGAAATCTCACTCTCCCCAATGCCCCCAATCACGCCACTTCGCCCTCCTTCCCCCCACTGGCCATGGCCGTCGCCCCACCCCACCACAGACGGCCAACATCCCGATCACAGCAGCGGGGGAGGCAAAGGTGGCAGACTTTGGGATGTAGCTCTTATCACCTACCCCATTCTCACACTACCGACCCCACCCCATTCCACCTCACCCCACCCCACTACAGACGGCCAACATCCCGATCACAGCAGCGGGGGAGGCAAAGGTGGCAGAATTGGCATCTCACTAGCCCTAAACCAATTACCATTCTGCTCCCCCTCCCCACCCCACCTCACCCCACCTCACCCCACCCCACCACAGACCGCCAACATCCTAATCACAGCAGCAGGGGAGGCGAAGGTGGCTGACTTTGGAATCTCCAAGGCGGTGATGGAAGGGGAGCAGCTGGACACACAGGTCAAGGGCACCGTGGTACGTGCTGGTGTGACTATAACAGGGTGTGGCTATATGTGGTTGTAACTATAAGCGCCTGTGAGTTAAGTCATTCAGGCACACGTGCATGGCCTTGGGATCTCCAAGGCGGTGATGGAGGCTGGGGAGCAGCTGGCCACGCAGGTCAAGGGCACCGTAGTACGTGGTGTGGTGTGACTATAAGAGGGGTGACTATAACGGGGGGTATGTATGTGACTATAGGAGAAGGTGAAGCTGTCACTTTGGACCCCGAGTACTACATGTCTGCCTTGCTCACGGAGAAGAGTGACGTGTTCAGCTTCGGCATTGTGCTGCTGGGGATCGCCATGTGTCTCCGGCCAATCCCACTCCATTCCTCCCTCTCCCTGTATCCCTTTTTCCTCCCCCATCACCTCCTTCCCAGGGCTACCTAGACCCCGAGTACTACATGTCAGATCTGCTGACAGAAATGAGCGACGTGTTCAGCTTCGGCATCGTTCTGCTCGAGATCGCCACGGGGCTGCACCCAATCCCACTCTATTCCCCTTTCTCCCCATCTCTCTGTTTCTCCTCCCCATCTCTCTGTTTATCCTCCCCATCTCTCTCTTTCTCCTCCCCATCTCTCTCTTTCTCCTCCCCATCTCTCTCTTTCTCCTCCCCATCTCTCTCTTTCTCCTCCCCATCTCTCTCTTTCTCCTCCCCATCTCTCTCTTTCTCCTCCCCATCTCTCTCTTTCTTCTCCCCATCTCTCTCTTTCTCCTCCCCATCTCTCTGTTTCTCCTCCCCATCTCTCTCTTTCTCCTCCCCATCTCTCTCTTTCTCCTCCCCATCTCTCTCTTTCTCCTCCCCATCTCTCTCTTTCTCCTCCCCATCTCTCTCTTTCTCCTTCCCATCTCTCTCTTTCTCCTCCCCATCTCTCTCTTTCTCCTTCCCATCTCTCTCTTTCTCCTCCCCATCTCTCTCTTTCTCCTCCCCATCTCTCTCTTTCTCCTCCCCATCTCTCTCTTTCTCCTCCCCATCTCTCTCTTTCTCCTCCCCATCTCTCTCTTTCTCCTCCCCATCTCTCTCTTTCTCCTCCCCATCTCTCTCTTTCTCCTCCCCATCTCTCTCTTTCTCCTCCCCATCTCTCTCTTTCTCCTCCCCATCTCTCTCTTTCTCCTCCCCATCTCTCTCTTTCTCCTCCCCATCTCTCTCTTTCTCCTCCCCATCTCTCTCTTTCTCCTCCCCATCTCTCTCTTTCCCTCCCCATCTCTCTCTTTCTCCTCCCCATCTCTCTCTTTCTCCTTCCCATCTCTCTCTTTCTCCTCCCCATCTCTCTCTTTCTCCTCCCCATCTCTCTCTTTCTCCTCCCCATCTCTCTCTTTCTCCTCTCCATCTCTCTCTTTCTCCTTCCCATCTCTCTCTTTCTCCTCCCCATCTCTCTCTTTCTCCTCCCCATCTCTCTCTTTCTCCTCCCCATCTCTCTCTTTCTCCTTCCCATCTCTCTCTTTCTCCTCCCCATCTCTCTCTTTCTCCTCCCCATCTCTCTCTTTCTCCTCCCCATCTCTCTCTTTCTCCTCCCCATCTCTCTCTTTCTCCTCCCCATCTCTCTCTTTCTCCTTCCCATCTCTCTCTTTCTCCTCCCATCTCTCTCTTTCTCCTCCCCATCTCTCTCTTTCTCCTCCCCATCTCTCTCTTTCTCCTCCCCATCTCTCTCTTTCTCCTCCCCATCTCTCTCTTTCTCCTCCCCATCTCTCTCTTTCTCCTCCCCATCTCTCTCTTTCTCCTCCCCATCTCTCTCTTTCTCCTCCCCATCTCTCTCTTTCTCCTCCCCATCTCTCTCTTTCTCCTCCCCATCTCTCTCTTTCTCCTCCCCATCTCTCTCTTTCTCCTTCCCATCTCTCTCTTTCTCCTCCCCATCTTTCTCTTTCTCCTTCCCATCTCTCTCTTTCTCCTCCCCATCTCTCTCTTTCTCCTCCCCATCTCTCTCTTTCTCCTCCCATCTCTCTCTTTCTCCTCCCCATCTCTCTCTTTCTCCTCCCCGTCTCTCTCTTTCTCCTCCCCATCTCTCTCTTTCTCCTCCCCATCTCTCTCTTTCTCCTCCCCATCTCTCTCTTTCTCCTCCCCATCTCTCTCTTTCTCCTTCCCATCTCTCTCTTTCTCCTCCCCATCTCTCTCTTTCTCCTCCCCATCTCTCTCTTTCTCCTCCCCATCTCTCTCTTTCTCCTCCCCATCTGTCTCTTTCTCCTTCCCATCTCTCTCTTTCTCCTCCCCATCTCTCTCTTTCTCCTCCCCATCTCTCTCTTTCTCCTCCCCATCTCTCTCTTTCTCCTTCCCATCTCTCTCTTTCTCCTCCCCATCTCTCTCTTTCTCCTTCCCATCTCTCTCTTTCTCCTCCCCATCTCTCTCTTTCTCCTCCCCATCTCTCTCTTTCTCCTCCCCATCTCACTCTTTCTCCTCCCCATCTCTCTCTTTCTCCTCCCCATCTCTCTCTTTCTCCTCCCCATCTCTCTCTTTCTCCTCCCATCTCTCTCTTTCTCCTTCCCATCTCTCTCTTTCTCCTCCCCATCTCTCTCTTTCTCCTTCCCATCTCTCTCTTTCTCCTCCCCATCTCTCTGTTTCTCCTCCCCATCTCTCTCTTTCTCCTCCCCATCTCTCTCTTTCTCCTCCCCATCTCTCTCTTTCTCCTCCCCATCTCTCTCTTTCTCCTCCCCATCTCTCTCTTTCTCCTTCCCATCTCTCTCTTTCTCCTCCCCATCTCTCTCTTTCTCCTTCCCATCTCTCTCTTTCTCCTCCCCATCTCTCTCTTTCTCCTCCCCATCTCTCTCTTTCTCCTCCCCATCTCTCTCTTTCTCCTCCCCATCTCTCTCTTTCTCCTCCCCATCTCTCTCTTTCTCCTCCCCATCTCTCTCTTTCTCCTCCCCATCTCTCTCTTTCTCCTCCCCATCTCTCTCTTTCTCCTCCCATCTCTCTCTTTCTCCTCCCCATCTCTCTCTTTCTCCTCCCCATCTCTCTCTTTCTCCTCCCCATCTCTCTCTTTCTCCTCCCCATCTCTCTCTTTCTCCTTCCCATCTCTCTCTTTCTCCTTCCCATCTCTCTCTTCTCCTCCCATCTCTCTCTTTCTCCTCCCATCTCTCTCTTTCTCCTCCCCATCTCTCTCTTTCTCCTCCCCATCTCTCTCTTTCTCCTCCCCATCTCTCTCTTTCTCCTCCCCATCTCTCTCTTTCTCCTCCCCGTCTCTCTCTTTCTCCTCCCCATCTCTCTCTTTCTCCTCCCCATCTCTCTCTTTCTCCTCCCCATCTCTCTCTTTCTCCTCCCCATCTCTCTCTTTCTCCTTCCCATCTCTCTCTTTCTCCTCCCCATCTCTCTCTTTCTCCTTCCCATCTCTCTCTTTCTCCTCCCATCTCTCTCTTTCTCCTCCCCATCTCTCTCTTTCTCCTCCCCATCTCTCTCTTTCTCCTCCCCATCTCTCTCTTTCTCCTCCCCATCTCTCTCTTTCTCCTCCCCATCTCTCTCTTTCTCCTCCCCATCTCTCTCTTTCTCCTCCCCATCTCTCTCTTTCTCCTCCGCATCTCTCTCTTACTCCTCCCCATCTCTCTCTTTCTCCTCCCCATCTCTCTCTTTCTCCTCCCCATCTCTCTCTTTCTCCTTCCAATCTCTCTCTTTCTCCTCCCCATCTGTCTCTTTCTCCTTCCCATCTCTCTCTTTCTCCTCCCCATCTCTCTCTTTCTCCTCCCCATCTCTCTCTTTCTCCTCCCCATCTCTCTCTTTCTCCTTCCCATCTCTCTCTTTCTCCTCCCATCTCTCTCTTTCTCCTCCCCATCTCTCTCTTTCTCCTTCCAATCTCTCTCTTTCTCCTCCCCATCTCTCTCTTTCTCCTTCCCATCTCTCTCTTTCTCCTCCCCATCTCTCTCTTTCTCCTCCCCATCTCTCTCTTTCTCCTCCCCATCTCTCTCTTTCTCCTTCCCATCTCTCTCTTTCTCCTCCCCATCTCTCTCTTTCTCCTTCCCATCTCTCTCTTTCTCCTCCCCATCTCTCTTCTCCCCATCTCTCTCTTTCTCCTCCCCATCTCTCTCTTTCTCCTCCCCATCTCTCTCTTTCTCCTCCCCATCTCTCTCTTTCTCCTCCCCATCTCTCTCTTTCTCCTCCCATCTCTCTCTTTCTCCTCCCCATCTCTCTCTTTCTCCTCCCCATCTCTCTCTTTCTCCTCCCCATCTCTCTCTTTCTCCTCCCCATCTCTCTCTTTCTCCTCCCCATCTCTCTCTTTCTCCTCCCCATCTCTCTCTTTCTCCTCCCCATCTCTCTCTTTCTCCTCCCCATCTCTCTCTTTCTCCTCCCCATCTCTCTCTTTCTCCTCCCCATCTCTCTCTTTCTCCTCCCCATCTCTCTCTTTCTCCTCCCCATCTCTCTCTTTCTCCTCCCCATCTCTCTCTTTCTCCTCCCCATCTCTCTCTTTCTCCTCCCCATCTCTCTCTTTCTCCTCCCCATCTCTCTCTTCTCCTCCCATCTCTCTCTTTCTCCTCCCCATCTCTCTCTTTCTCCTCCCCATCTCTCTCTTCTCCTTCCATCTCTCTCTTTCTCCTCCCCATCTCTCTCTTTCTCCTTCCCATCTCTCTCTTTCTCCTCCCCATCTCTCTCTTTCTCCTCCCCATCTCTCTCTTTCTCCTCCCCATCTCTCTCTTTCTCCTCCCCATCTCTCTCTTTCTCCTCCCCATCTCTCTCTTTCTCCTCCCCATCTCTCTCTTTCTCCTCCCCATCTCTCTCTTTCTCCTCCCATCTCTCTCTTTCTCCTCCCATCTCTCTCTTTCTCCTCCCCATCTCTCTCTTTCTCCTCCCATCTCTCTCTTTCTCCTCCCCATCTCTCTCTTTCTCCTCCCCATCTCTCTCTTTCTCCTCCCCATCTCTCTCTTTCTCCTCCCCATCTCTCTCTTTCTCCTCCCCATCTCTCTCTTTCTCCTCCCCATCTCTCTCTTTCTCCTCCCCATCTCTCTCTTTCTCCTCCCATCTCTCTCTTTCTCCTCCCCATCTCTCTCTTTCTCCTCCCATCTCTCTCTTTCTCCTCCCATCTCTCTCTTTCTCCTCCCCATCTCTCTCTTTCTCCTCCCCATCTCTCTCTTTCTCCTCCCCATCTCTCTCTTTCTCCTTCCCATCTCTCTCTTTCTCCTCCCCATCTCTCTCTTTCTCCTCCCCATCTCTCTCTTTCTCCTCCCCATCTCTCTCTTTCTCCTTCCCATCTCTCTCTTTCTCCTCCCCATCTCTCTCTTTCTCCTTCCCATCTCTCTCTTTCTCCTCCCCATCTCTCTCTTTCTCCTCCCCATCTCTCTCTTTCTCCTCCCCATCTCTCTCTTTCTCCTCCCCATCTCTCTCTTTCTCCTCCCCATCTCTCTCTTTCTCCTCCCCATCTCTCTCTTTCTCCTCCCCATCTCTCTCTTTCTCCTCCCCATCTCTCTCTTTC